CTTGGGTGGAAGCCAGGCCTCCTGGGACCTTCTGGAGGAGCAGAGGCATCCCCAGGAAGTCTGCAGTGGTTGCAAAGGTCTTCAGTCCTGCATCTAGAATTTCTTCCCATGGAGGGCTCGGACTTAGAATCCCATGGTTAGCCCCACTGCCAGCCCAAGCCGCAAGCTTTGGCCTTTTTGATGCCCACATTCTAGATGCAGGGAACGGGGCAGGTTCGGGCAAACAGGATAGAAGAAATTTGACCCAAAGGGAGTGTGACCTATCAGCCTAGGAGGCCGGGGATCCTGGGGTCCAGCAATTGGCTAGGGCCACTGGCTGATACTTCCTGGATTGTAAGGGAGGAAATGCCCAGTTAGTATCACAAAGCATCAGAACACAAAACCCCATAGGACTGTGCCCTTTACAAGTTATGGGCAGGATTTATATGTGAAGACATTAATTCTCTATGCTCTACAGATGGTGTCATCTGGGAATGGGACATAAAGTCACACGAAAATGACTTCTTTCACCATGCAGGGGTGAGCCTGGGACTGTGCCATGCCTTCATTTGGAAATACAGGCAAGCAAGGTGCAGGGGAGGGGGGCATTGGGGCTGACCTCTAACACGCATACTGCCCCAGATGGCTGATCCAGGCTTGTCCTAGGAATACCTTCTGCCCCCCATCGGCAGCTGGTTCAGCCACAGCATGTGGCTGGACATCCAGCGTTGGCCTTGGCCCAAAGACCTGAGGAGACTTAGCCATCCTTCTGGGAGAGGACAGGACGCCTGCATGTGGCCCGAGATCATGCATTTCCTTACGTTTGAAGCAGGCAGTGTTACCTCTAGCCCGGGGCATCTTAAGGGACCCAGAAGCCTTTCTCAGTTGGGAGAGCAGGAACCAACGGTCTAGATTCTGATCCCAGTGGGCTGAGGACATCATTGTCTGCCCCACCCACACACTGCTTTGAAAATTCTTGGTCCTCGCTGCCTCTCTGCCAGTGGAGCACACATGCAAGTTGGCACTCACAAGAAGGCACCAAGCTTTTCTTTTTTCCTGGGTCATTATTGCTTTAGACTGAGTTTAAGTCTCCAGCTGTGTCTCCATTTAGAAGTGTTGATTGAGCCTGGATCCCAGAGCCTTCGCACTGTAAGCACTTTTCCTTTCCCTTACAGGCAGAACAGATCCCAGTGGTGGTGGGACACCTCTGGGTGGGATGTGACAATGAAAAATATTGTTGTCTTTGTTTCCTCATTTACCTGACATGGCTCCCCATCAGGGTGTGGGCGTGTGTGTGTGCGTGCGTGTGCGCGTGCTCAAGAAACAAGAAGCACAGTCCCCAAAGGCCACCCAGCCTCCACGTTCTGTTCCATCAGCATTCCCCTGACATACTGCTTACCCAGGCCACTCGTAGTCAGAATTCTGCCCGTGCATCGGACGGGGCCAGAGTGGCGGGTGACAGAGTGGCAGTCTTCAGAGGCCCCTTGACAAGGTCACGAAGACCTCCTGGCTTGTTATGCATCGCACACGGGTCCCCCTGCACCAGAGACCAGAAGAGTCTAGGTCCCTGCCCCCACCCCCTGGGAGCTTGCTCTTTGGGAAGAAGGACAGTGAAAACTCCATCTCCTTATTACCTCCATCTGCTTGTTGCCCGCAGCGCGGCCAAGGCCTGCCAAGGATGGTGACCTCGTCAAAGGGCAGAAGAATTTCTGGTTTCTGTGTGGCCACCAGGGGACAGAAATGGTTCTGATGAAGTCTGTATGGCTCAGAGCCCTGCCCCAGATCTTCAGAACAAGGCAGGGCACCCCCTCTCATCCAGAGGTGGGCCAGGCAGACAGGAAGAACTTCTCCTTTTTTAATGTCCCTGTCCTGAGACACGGGCAATGACTTGTGACCCCCGAGGTGACCAGGAAAGGTCCTCCTCTCTTTCTGCATCTCACATCCTTGGGAAGATTTTCAGGGGTTGGAGGGCCCGACATCACCCTGAATTGATCTTGCCCCTCTCCCACAACACGGGGCTGCTCTAGGTCATGGTTGCCACCCCAGCCCTTCAGGGACCAGGCTGGTAACAGTTGCGAGCCATGAGGAGGTGTAGGACAGTAGGAGCGGTTGGGGACGGTGTCAAGCAAACCAGATCTAAGACATTCAAGTCCAACTAAAAATAGACCCACGAGACATGTACTAATCCAGGGTTGAGTTGACCCTGTGGTCCTTAGTTTGTGCCTTTGCAATCTAGACGGAGTATTTGAGCAGAGAACCATGAAGGATTTCTGTGTCCTACTTCTCACCTGAAGGAGGAGGAGAGAGCACCAGAGGGAGACGCAAGCACCAGGGGTAGAAGAAGAAGGGGAGAGATCTGAAACCATGGGAATTTGAAGATGTAGGAGGTGCCCCCCCAACTTTTTCTTTTTTGAGCTGAAGACAGGTGATCAGGGATCTGGGACAAGTCACCAAGGGCCCCTCACATGAGGGACTCAACAGTAAATCGAAATGCATGTGTGCCTGATTCTTCTGCTTGGTCTTCTGGGATCTCATGGTGGGGATTCAAGGACAGGTGGGTCAAAGATTGTGATCTGCCTTCTACTCGTGCCTGGAGGGGAGCCCCAGGAGGCCGGGGGTGATGTGGGAAGCAAGAGCTTCCCTGGTCTTATTCCAGAGAACACCAGGGAGATAAACCCTCTTTCCAAGAAGTATCCTACAGCTGGAATGCCAGGGGTGCAAGATAATTTAGTTATGTGGCCCTGTCTGAAAAGGCCAATTGGCAAATTGAGAGAGCCAGGCCCTTCCCAACTCTGCTCTCCTCTTTCTGCTGGCATCAGAGGAAAGGTCTCTGCTTCTGTCAGTCTGCCTCACACTTTTCCCAGCACTTGCCCATCAGCCTTAGCCTCAGTGCCTTTTTGCTGGCAGTAATATGTCAAATATGCAACATTTTTTTCGTTGTTGTTTTCATTTTATTTATTTTTGGCAGTGTCTTTGAATTATGGTGAGATGTTGGCCTTTCCATTTACGGTGGTGATTTGAAGTATCCTTTAAAAACGTAAGGTCATGATTAAGTACTGTACAAAGAACAGCAATGGTGGTAGGAGCATTATGGTAATGATCATAAAGCTGGCAGAAAGGCTAGTGAGACGGTAGAACATGACCCTTGATGTAGGCGAGGCTGCTGGTTGGGTCTTACTCATCTTTAGAAGAGGATGAAAACATGGACAACCACAGGAGGAATGAGTGGCTGAGTGTCACGGGTTACCAGACAGCACCTCCCTAGATCCAGCTCTGGGCTACCTGGCTTATGTACCCTTCAGGATTCAACCTGTGCCACTTCTTACAGGAAGTCCTCTGGGATGCCTGGCTCTGAAGTCATCTCTCTTCCCATATGCTGATCACTGTCCACTTTCTCTGGAACCAGCTGTATTGTTGGAGGTCGTGAAAGTGGATGCTTGCTTGGGGGTGGGGGAAGAAGACCTATAGGGAACTGAAAGGCATGAGCCCCATTTCATGGTAGACAAGCAGAAATGCAGGCCGAGGGTGGCCACACTTTCCAATTTCTCAGGAAAAATCTGAAATCTAAATTCTTATGTGAAATTTCACTATTTTTAGCATTGACAAGAAACATTCATTAGGCCCCGGGGGCTGGATCCTGTATCGGTCACCCTCAGGTGACACAGAAGGAAGGTTCCAGGTGAAGATGGCCATCAAGCTGAGAGCCCTCACACCCGGGTCCTAAAGATGACGGACGGAACCGGGGATGCAAAATCACAGCTAGAGCGGGTTGTGCAAGTCATGTGTTTCCCCATAAGACTGGGCCCTCCTGGCCAGCAGGGAGGGAGATGCCTGAGTCATCAGACCCTGCCTGACCAAGGCCAACCCCAAAGCCCTTGGCCACACAGGCCTAGGGCAGGGTGAATGAGAACATCCAAAAGGACAGGTGTCCACCATCCAGGGAAGTCTGAAAACACACAGCAGAGATGTTCTGGACAGACACATACCTAGGAGGGGATTTCCAAGTGGGACCTGGGGAGGGAAGGTCACTGTGCTGGGGTACAGCAGGCCTGGTAGGACTGTGACTCCTGGCAGTGGTAAGACTGTGCTGGAGAGGAGGGATTCCAGCCCTGGATGGGCTTTGACAGCAAACTTGCTCCAGGATGGAGAGGAAAGCCTTGGATGCAGAATTGGAAAAGGTGGGTGGAGTGCAGAGAGGCTATTTTAGGCAGGCCTAGCAGTGCAAAGGCCCAGAGGCTCCCAGGGCTGGGCTGCGGGGCAGGTGAGGGCAGCAACCTGACTGAGCTCTGGGAGGTAGGGCTCTCATACGGGTGGAGGATCCTGTATTCAGAGGCTGTAACAGAGGGATGGGGAGGCAGTTGGAGGGGACAGGAACTTCAGGCAGAGAGGAGTTGGGGACTAAGGAAGCTTGCATCTCTCTGGAAGGGTAAAAGTTGATATTTGGGATAGTCCCTGCAGTGCATGCTTCCTCCCATAAAAGCGTCTTTCAGCCTCTGGAGTTTCCATCTCAGGCCTTCCCAACCCGGTCCCATTCTCCTGCCCCGTCCTGCCCCAGGGCGCCCAAGAGAGGGTGAGGCAGCTCTTTGCGCCCCTAGGCTGACGGGTGGAACCCGGGCGCCCCACGGACTCTCTGGGTGGGGATGCTCAGGCGGGCGCCGCTCGTTCGAGGTTGTGCGCCGCCAGGGCGCGTGGCGCGACCGATGGTGGCCGGCGGCGGGGCACCCCCAGTCCGGCCCACGGCGCTACTCTGCCGCCGCCTCGGGGTGTCTCTGCTTCGCTGCGAGCCGGAACCGCGGCGGCGGCGGCGCTAGGAGGGGAGCAGGCGGCGGCGGCGGCCGCGCCAAGAAGCGCCGGGTCACCGCAGGCTGAGGCGCCCGCCGTCCCCGCCCTCCCCCTCGCTCGCCTTCTCCTCCCTCCCGCCTCGCTCGCTCGCTAGCTCGCTCCTTCCCTCTCCCCGCCTCCCCTCCGCGCTCCCCCGCCCTCCCCTCCGCGCCTTGCCTCCTCCGCCCCGCGCCCTGCGGTGCTGCAGCTGCGGGCGGCTCCAGCTGCCCCCAGATGTGGGCTGGGCGGCGCGCGGGGAACTTTCGCGCCGGCAGCGAGTGCGGGGCCCCGGCTGCGGTCCGGCTGCCATGGATCCGCCGGCGGGAGCCGCTTGCCGCCTGCTCTGCCCCGCGCTGCTGCTGCTGCTGCTGCCGCCGATCCTGCTGCCGCCGCCGCCCGCGGACGCCCGGCTCGCCGCCGCCACCGACCCCCCAGGTAGGTGCAGCCGGGTACCCACGCCCCACGACCCCCGTCGGCCGGACCCCGCCCCGCGTGCTCCGCCGCCCCCTCCCCAGGCGTCGTCCAGCCCGACTTGGGCAAACTCCGCGCGCCCCGCCCGGGGCCAAGTTGGCCAACTTCGGGGCCGGGTTGGTCGCGCAGGGGGCGCCCCGCGGCGCACCGGAGCGCCTCCGGCCGGAGGGGAAGGAACCTCAGAGCGTTCGCGGCTCCCGGGACGCGGAGCAAGGAGATGGAGGGCCGGCAAAGCCCCGCGGCCGAGAGCGCAGCGCTAGCCCCAGCGGGTCCTGGGGAGCCAGGGCGAGGCGGCGCCGGGGCTCGAGTCCGGGGACGCTCGGGAGGAGCCGGGTGCTGAGCGCGCCACCTTGGGCCCTGGGGACTGATGCGGCGCCCGGGGTGGGGGGAATCCCTTAGCACCCGAGGGACCCTGCTCCACCCCTCCCTGTCCTCGGGCGCGCGGGGAGGGGGCGGTCATCCGTCCAACCGAGAGCTGGACACGGAGGACAGGCCGCGCGTGCCCGGGGGAGCCGAGTCCTCGCCGCTCCGGAGGCTAGCGGTGAGGGCGCCCGAGCGGCGGGGGCCGCGAAGGGGTAGAGGCGAGGCGCACGGTAAGGGGCCAACCGGCAATGGTTTCGGAGCAGCCCCACGTCCTGCCAAGGACGGTAGGTTCAAGGGGCGGGGGCGCTCTGATGGGGCTGTCCCCAGGGGAACTGTGAGGAGCTCTCGAGCTTCAAAACGGAACGGGACAGGGGGCAGAGCGCTTGGCTGACTGGGTCCCAGAGGGGGACCGCCTGGGAGCGGCGGGGTTCCGGAATGGTGGCCCCGTTAACGCCCCTTCCCAGGCGGAAGAAGGCCGGGGAGGTGCAGGCTAGTTTCTGGGGGTTGCCTGGCAGAATGCCCTTTCCTTCGCAGTGGTGGGGGGGGGGAGGGCTGGGGGGCTGCGGGGCTTGGCGGCGGGTCCCCGGGGCTCCGAGATCTAGACGGGTCTAACGCCCCTTCCCGTTGCAGGCGGGCCCCTGGGGCACGGAGCGGAGCGCATCCTGGCGGTGCCGGTGCGCACTGACGCCCAGGGCCGTTTGGTGTCCCACGTGGTGTCAGCGGCGTCGGCCCAGGCTGGGGTACGGGCCCGCAGGGCAGCCTCTGTCCAGACCCCGGGCTTACCTGGAGACGACGAGGAGGACCCCGGCGGCCGTCTCTTCTACAACGTCACGGTCTTCGGTCGAGACCTGCACCTTCGGCTGCGGCCCAACGCCCGCCTCGTGGCGCCCGGCGCCACCGTGGAGTGGCAAAGCGAGTCGGGTGCCACCCGCGTGGAGCCCCTGCTTGGGACCTGTCTCTACGTCGGAGACGTGGCGGGCCTGGCTGAAGCCTCCTCCGTGGCGCTCAGCAACTGCGACGGGCTGGTGAGTACTCACTTCTCTCTAGCTCCTTTCTGCCCACTGCCCTTGCCTGGCATTGGGAGCTGGTTTCCCATGACTCCAAGGCCTGCACTGAGGATCTCCTTTGCACCCCAGCGTGCAGGGAGCACCGGACACAGAAGGAAGGGGTTGGCACAAAGGCAAGTGATTTCAACTGACCCCAGAGGAGTGACTTAGGCAGCGGGTGGTGTTCTCCAAAGCTCTGCCAAGTAGCAGAGTGCCGTCTCCCCGATGCCTGCGGGGCACAGGTCTTCCTGTGGTCACCAGTGTGTACGACTCCGGGAGTGTATGCATATGCATGCGTGTTCTGGAATGTTGGTGTGTGCTCGGATCTGGGAACCCATGCAGATATGTGGATGTGCTATTGTGTGTCTTGTACATGTGTGTATCTGTGGGTTTCTGCTCCTTTGGGTATCCAGGCATCTGTTCAGTGTGTGTCCATGGGCATCTTAACATGTGTGATATGTGTGGGGGGGCACACGTGCTGGAAGTCTATCTTCTTGTTTCTGTGTGTGCAGGTGGTGGCAGTCCAGGGAGCAGGCAGGCAGTGGTGCTGAAATGCCCAGTTATCCCTCTGCCCCCTGGCTGACCGGGAGCCACTGATTTTTCTGCTGTGGTTTCCTGTTGAACTCCAGCTGGTAATTTGAAAAGTCGGTTTTCTCTCTCTATTTTGAGCCAAGGGGAGCATTTGGAAATGCAGGCTCTGGTGCCCACGGGCAGCCTCTGAAGGACAAGGAGAGAGGCTGAGTCCCCTACTGGGACTGGTTGGGCCACCCAGTGTGCCTTGAGCCCTGGGACGTTTTCTTGTTTCCAGGGGCCCAGAGGGACCACAGCTTGGCATGAGGGCGGCCTCAGAGGAAGCCTGGATCGATGCTCAGGGAGGCGGCTGACATTGGCGGTGCTTTGTCCGGCTGCCCCGGGGCCTGGCACGTGGCAGAAACCACTGCAGTCTTCTATTTTGGATTGGGGGTGCGGTGGTCAGGCTGGCCGGGCCTGGCCAGACATCTGAAGCCACCCACCGTGGGTTCTGCTCTAATTGCTGCTCAGAGCACTGCTGTGCGGGCGAGTGGCCGCTCTCCAGACCCTGCTGGCCCCCGAGGCCCCTGTCCTCAGGCTGGTCCTGCTGCTGCCTGCAGAGTCTGCAGTCCCACCAGAGCCCCACAACCACTGGTGTTCTTTTTATGGAGACACAGGAAATGTCACTTGTTGCTTCGGAAAATCACTGCCTTTGGCTGGATTGAGTTAGAACCCAGGCGTACTGCAAACAGCTATAAATGTCCTTGGAGGAGTTGGGTTATTGTGGTGCAGCCTTTTATATGTCCATTGTCTCCGAGGCCATCCGGGGCCTCATAGGTATGTCTCATTTCATGCTGTAGGTGAATTTCCTAAATAAATTGGTGCTGGGGACTCCAGGGTTTGGGGGAGCTGACTCAGATGCAGTCTGTAGGTGGGTCAGCTCCTGTGGACTGAGAGATTCCTGATGGAGTGAATTTTATGGGATGCTTTGTCTCTGTATCATTCCTTCATCTGTCATTTGGTGATTCATTTGTTTAGCCAGAACCTCCTAGTGCCATCTGTCCACTGTGCGGGTCAGGGGTGTGGCTGGCCCAGTGCCCACCTGGGGCTGGGGACCACTGATGGGCTGAGGGGCAGCTCTGGCTTGGGCTTTGACCGCAGGCTCCTGGGGGCTATTTGGAGAATGAGTTGGCAGCAGGTAAAGGGGCAGGTTAGCAACCTTAGCGGAGGGAAGAACATGTGTGCAGGTACTGGGTATGTGTTGGTCTGGTCGGGACAGGCATGGTGAGATGTCATGACGACTGGCCACACACCTGCACAGGGTCAAGGCAGCTGGAAAGAAGACGGGAGTTGGAAGATGTGCTGGGGCTTGTCTGCGGGGCCTTGAATACTGTCAACGAAAAATGGCCTGGAGACATTGGGGCATCAATGTTAATTCTGTACTCTTCCTCCCTCTTCCTTCCTTCCTTCCCTCCTTTCTCTCTTCTGTCCCTCCTTACTTCCTTTTGTTTTGGTGTGTCTCTTCTCATTTTATACTAATTAATTCCTTAACCCTTTGAGTCTTTCTGTGTATCACTGATAGATCTGGGGCTCTATACATGGTGCAGAGCTGTGGTCCCCACAGCTATCATGCAGGGGAGGGATCCTCATCCCTGGTTTGCACATGCTCAGATGAGGCTCCAGGAGGTTGAGCGACTTGCCCAAGACCACCTAGCCCATGCTGGCTGGAATCTGGCCTGGTTTCCTCCAGCCCTATGTGCCACAGGGCTCCCAAGTTGGGCTGGGTAGAAGGCACTGAGATGTGCAAAATCTGTGCACTCCTCCCAATAGGCGTTATGTGAATAAATGCATCTCATTCTCCTAGCAACCCAGGCCCTTAACCATCATGCCACACAGGCCCCCTGTCTCTGTAGCATTTGTTCTTCCTTCAGATATAGCAAAACTCACCAAAGCAGGTATGTCATGCTGTAGTGTGTGTGCAAATCCCCAGGGATCTTGTTAAAATGCAAGTTCTGGTTCAGCACATCTGGGTGGGGCCTAAAGTTCTGCCTGCCTGCCTGCCTGCCTTCCTTCCTTCCTTCCTTCCTTCCTTTTCTTTTCCTTCCTTTCCTTTCTTTTCCTTTCCTTTCCTTTCCTTTCCTTTCCTTTCCTTTCCTTTCCTTTCCTTTCCTTTCCTTTCCTTTCCTCTCCTCTCCTCTCCTCTCCTCTCCTCTCCTTTCCTTTCCTCTTTCCTTCTCTCTTTCTCTTTCTGTCTGTCTTTTTCTCTGAAAGAGCATGAGTGAGGGCAGGGAGTGGCAGAGGGAGAAAGAGAGAGAGAGAGAGACACTCTTAAGCAGATTCCTCACTGGGTGTGGATCTCAAGATCTGGGGCTTGTAACACTCAAGACCCTGAGATCATGACCTGAGCTGAAATCAAAGGTTGGTTGCTTAACCTACTGAGCCACCCAGAAATGCAAGTTCTGCATTTCTAATGAGCTTCCTGGTCCTCAGGCCGCCCTTTGAGAAGCAAGGCTCAACAGCCCCATTTCTAAAGATTTTATTTATTTATTTATTTATTTGACAGAGAGTGAGAGAGAGAGTATATGAGCAGGGGGAGTGGCAGTCAGAGGGAGAGAGAGAAGCAGACTCCCTGATGAGCAGAGAGCCTGATGCAGGGCTTAACCCCAGGACCCTGGGGTCATGACACGAGCTGAAGGCAGACGCTAATGCACTGAGCCACCCAGGTGCACCATCAACAGCCCCATTTCTGCAAGAGAGTTCTTCACATTCCTCCACTAGTTGTTCCTTGCAGACGGGTTTCAGTGGACAACGGTGTGGGGGATGCTGCACTTTGCACTCAGCTTGGGCGATTCAGGGGGCCCATCGCAGTCTCTGGGAAGTTCCGTAATAAAGAAAGCTCTCGCAATCTGAGTAATCCGTCATTTCCCACACAGAGGGGACTGTGGAACCCCTTCTTTGCAGAATGTGTCTTCCTGGAAGATGTGTAGAAAAACCATGGAACAGGGTCCCAGGAGCTTGTGCGTGCACTCTCTCTCTAAAAATAAATAAATAAAATCTTTGGACAGCAGTCTTCTAGTCAAGGGGAATCTTATTTCTTAGTATCTGTCAGGATCCTTTCAGTTACAAGTGACAGACTGCTTAAATCAGTTTAAACAATAGCTCTCCTAATGGTGAGTCTTCAGGCATGGCTGATTCCAGGTGCTCCCTTTAGGTCATTAGGACACATGCCATCTCCTGCCTCTGTCTTCCTTTGCGTTGGCTTTGTTCTCAAGTGTGGTCCTTCTATTCTGAGTCTAGGGGCCCCAGCAGTGTCTTTTTCTGAATAATTTCGCTGAGACCTGGGTATCACTCTGGCCAGCCTAGGCTCTGGTGCTCCTGTGAGGAGCAGGACATGGTATTTGCAGAACCCCAGAAATGGAGAGCAGAAGAGGTGCTGTCCCCTCAGTTAATATGAGATGGGGATTCTGAATCTGCCAAGATGTAGATTCTTCTGGAGTCAGGTAGAGGTGCAGACTTAAGAAATTCCACTTGAAGACATGCTTTGTAAGACATGATGTGTACTTTATTCCCAGAGTCTGGCAAACGCAGAGTTTCCAGGTTTTTTGTTTGTTTGTTTGTTTTTTTAATAGCCATTAGACAGAAGTCATTCATAACATTCATGAGGAGAAGTTAAGGTTCGTTTTTGATGATGCATGAGAAAATTATGCTTAATGAAGGGTTCTTGCATGTGTTAATTTCATATTATTCATATATGCTCATTAAAAACCCGTGAGGGGGGCGCCTGGGTGGCTCAGTCAGTAAGAGTCTGCCTTCGGCTCAGGTCATGATCTCAGGGTCCTGGGATCCAGCCCCGTGTTGGGCTCCCTGCTCAATGGGGAGTCTACTTCTCCCTCTGCCTCTGCCCCTTCCCCCACTCATGTACTCTCTCTCTCTCACTCTCAAATAAATAAAAGCTTATTTTTTATAACCCAAGCAGAAGCCTATTGTAATAATAATAAATAGTAAGTCATAGTTTGCTACCCCTATTATGTGCCAGGCTCCCTACTGAGTGCCTTATGCCTGTGTCTCCTTGTTCAGTCCTCACAAAGTCCTATGGCATGTGCTTGATATTATCCCCATTCTACAGATGAATCAACTGAGTCTCCAAATGCTGAGAGCTTGCTTCAAGCTTTGCTGTTGGTATTTGAATGCATGTCTTCCACCCAATGCATGATTCCAAGATCATGCTCACTACATTTTATTGTTGGTTTTGTTTTGTTTTTTGGCATGCCGACAGAAAGAATAAAAATGAAGAAATGCACTTCTGTAAAACATTTTTTACCTTCCCTATTTTGACTCCTGGAGACCTTCTGAGTCTGGGAGCAGGCCTGGTGGCTGAGTGGCTTGCTGATACACGGCTGACCTGCTCTAGCCTACAGTTCTAGGCGGGTTGCCTGAGTCTTCGTAGCTGGGTGATGGTAGTGGGGACT